CCCCCCCCCCCCCATGCCTTACACATCTTTCCTCTGGGAGGAGGAACAAGCAGGTTTGTTAGCCAGAGGGCTGAAAGGTCTACTCTGCATTTGGAGACCTCTCGCGTCATCCTGGGTCCCACTGCATTCGTCTGCATTCTGCCTAGCTCTCCAGAGCTTGTCTTTCCACAAATAAGCCAGGGCAGGGTATTTTTGTTTGCAAAAGAGAAGACAATAGGGATTTGAAATGCCCCATCTCCAAAGTATTGTCTCATCTGAGTGAATTATCTGCAAATGCCTTGATTCAAACCCTTGCTAGAGGAATACAAAAGCAGCCCTCTTCTTCAGCTCCTCTCTATTCTTGTGTATATTTTAACTCGGAGGCAAAACTGATTTATCTTACAATTTTGCACGCATGCTGTGACTGGCACTGGCACGCTCCAGGCTTTGAAACCTTTTATGCTGAGTTTCAGCCTGTTGCTTACTCCTGTGGATGACATATAAACACATCGCTAAATAAAGGGGAAAAAAAGTATAATAGAAATGCCAGAAGGCCCCATAAGCTAATGGATACTCCTATAATAAACCTGGGTTTGAGTCTCTAATGCAGTATAAAGCTGAAATACCCAAGAAAATGAAGATAGAAAGTCGTGTAGGTTAAAGAGAATCCATATTATAAAACACATTTTTCTCCCTAGAGTTTGCTGCACTCTTACTTCTTTCTAGGCCTGTTGTAAGCTCGTGTTTTCTCTTTGATGGCTTTTTTGCCTGTGCTGAGGAGTACAGCTTGTTGCCGGTTTCCCTTAGCCATTGATCAGGGGCTTGAGAGTATTTGCTGACATAAGGAAGCGGAATGGTTGAGGAGGATGTGAAAGTGGCTTCAGGGCTTGGGACCAGAGAAGGATCAGGTGGGAAGAAAGTGCTGGAGGCCTCTGTCCACCCCTCACCACGAACAGCACTATTGCTCACAGTCACCTCACATTACATAAGGCCTCCTCCAGGAGTGTTAACTATCTCCAGAGATGGAGACAGCATGTCTTCTGCCACAGGCTTTGCTCTTTTCCCTCCAGGAATGTCTCTTGGGTTGCAGGAGTTTATCTCAATGATATCTGTGATGCGAAAGCTATGTTGCTTCTGTTGGCAGTGAAACAGAATCTTCAGAAGTTATTCACGGCAGGACTGCTGTCCTCCTTTCCTCCAATTACTGGGCATTGCCTGGCAAAGGAAGCAGGCCCAGAAATGCAACCCAGACATCTGGTGGCTAAGGTTGGGCTATTGCAGGACAAAAACAATCAAGCCAGGAGATAATTTAAAGTGCTTAAGGGACCAATGCACATCTGCTATTGCCTTCCAGAGCATCTGCAAATCACAGCTTAGCATCCCACCTCTCAACTTCTGGTCTCTGTCCTGTCTCTGTCACTGGCTGATGAGACTTTTCTTTTGGTGTCTCTTCACAGATTTGTAAAACCCAGGAGTCCAAGGTAGCTGCTTCCTACTGCAGCCCTGCAGTGCCAGTTCACTTCAACATCCAGCAGGACTGTGGGCATTTTGTGGCCTCCGTCCCCTCTAGCATGCTGCTGGCCTCAGATGTGGGGAAAAGCATGCCTGGAGATGGCTTCCATCCCTCCCGTGCTGCCAGTGAGCACGACTGTGTGGTGGTCATCACCCGCGAGGTGCCGAGCCAGACCACTGCCGACTTCGTGAGGGACTCGGTGATGCTCCACCAAGCCAAGCCGGAGCTGTATGAACGTCGCGTGTGCTTCCTGCTCCTCCAGCTCTGCAATGGCTTGGAGCATCTCAAAGAGCATGGCATCATCCATCGTGACCTGTGCCTGGAGAACCTCCTGCTTGTGCCCTGCAAGCCCCCCATGAGCTGTGTGAAAGCCAAAGATGACAAACACTTACCCCGCCTCATCATCAGTAATTTTTTGAAAGCTAAACAGAAGACTGGAACTGGAGACTCCAAGATGAAGAAGAGTCAGGCCCGGCTGGCCCCGGAGATTGTGTCGGCTTCTCAGTACAAGAAGTTTGATGAGTTTCAGACTGGTATTCTCATCTATGAACTGCTGCACCAGCCCAACCCCTTCGAGGAGAAGGTGCACCTCAGGGAGCAGGAGTACAGCCCTGAGGACCTCCCTGCTCTACCCAGCCTGTCCATCTACTCCCGAGGTCTCCAGCAGCTGGCCCACCTCCTACTGGAAGCAGACCCCATCAAGCGTGTGCGGATCACCGAGGCCAAGAGGATGCTGCAGTGTCTGCTTTGGGGGCCCCGGAAAGACCTCATGGAGCAGCCCCTCAGCCACGAGGAAACCCTGCGCCAGGTGCTGCAGAACTGGGTGGACATGAAGCGTGCCCTGCTCATGATGAAGTTTGCGGAGAGGGCCGTGGACACGGAGCGGAGCGTTGAACTGGAGGACTGGCTGTGCTGCCAGTACCTAGCATCTGCTGAGCCAGCCTCCCTCTTGCACACATTAAAACTGCTGCAGCTGCTCTGACCTTGGAAGTGTCTCGCAGGCAGCTGAGGTGCTTTAGCCTTGCGGCTAAAGGTGCACAGCCCTTTCACACGTGAGAGGTTTGAATCTCAGCTGTGAATGCACGTTCAGCTCCTGCCCCGCGCTCCAGTCAGAGGGCACAAGGCATGTTTAGTATCCTCAGCACTGTTAGTTTGCGAGCAGGCACAACTGGGAACCTACCCCTATTTTGGGGGGTTTTTGTTTTTTGGTATGGTAAATGTGGACTAATAAACTCCTGCCTGCGTGTGTGCATGTTTCTAATGACCTCACTGTACTGAGTTGATTTCTGTGCCTATGGGACAGTCCTCCCATCCCCACCTCTCCCAAAGCATCAGAGCCTTTTTGCCTGGGAACAGCACCACGCTCTAGAGTAAGAAGCAGGGATGAACAGGTGACTGGTTCTCTTCAGGAGAGAACCCTTGGGCAGTTCACATACTGCTCCTTTGCAAGGGAGAACCCTGGGCTTTTAAATTCACATATTTTTTGGGTTTTGGCATCCATTTTGTTTTTCCATTTCAAAACAAAAATTACTGCCTGTTTCTGTGTATCAGTTCTTTTTTTCTCTGTGGGCAGTTCAGTATCAGCTGCCTGTTACCTTCTTTAGATATTAATACAACCTGGCTTTCCTGTCTAGTGGTGCAGCTGTAGTGGAGCACCACTGTTGGATACGAAGGGGTGAGAGAGAGCTTAGGGTGGGTCTGTTCATGAGGATGATGCTGGGAATTACCCCTTGTAAAGCTAATGAAATGGAAAATCCCCAATTCACCTCCAAGGCCTTGAGGGGAAAGTCAGGGCCGGGTTGTTTTGCTTTCCCCATCCCTCCAGCTCCCGCTCTTTGCCTGGTAAGTCACCTGTCCCTTGTGTCTAACATTTATTTAACTCCTTTAGCGAGAGATGAGCTGGCACGTGGCCCCCACTGCAGGCCAGCAGGGTCTTATTGCTGCTGGTGTTTGAATTAGAAATGCATAGGGCTGGGTGCACTGCAAACACATTTCTCCAACAGATGGGATGCAGGAGCAGCACAATGAAAGGTGGAGAAACTGGCCTGTCTCCCTTCAGCCCCTTCCCCTCCATCCAAACCTAGAGCAGCCATTCAGATTGGGAGAGAGGTGGTGCTGCTAAGAAAAAAAGATTTTTCAAAGGTTGAGAAGCCTCTTTTACTCTTCCACCCCAACATGAGGCAGAGATGAGCTGTCCTGCACCTGACATCAGTTCTGCAGCCCTTGGAGAAGCACCAAGTGTGGGACATTTGGAGAGGGCCCAGCATCAGTTTATCTGAGACAGGATGTCACTAGCTGAGCTACCCACCTCCCAGCTCTAACAGGGAAATTCATGAGCACCTTCCTCCAGTCTTGATTCACCTCCAGACACAGCCTGGTCTTTTGGGGAATTTTGACACTTTGCCTCTTGACACTTTGTGTACTTTCTGTGAATCTTTTCCAGGCTTCTCACCTGGATTTTTCTTTTTTTTAATCTTTTTGGCTATGGTTGCTGCTGATGGGAGGGGATAGTTCCTTGGCTGGGCACCCATTTGCAATGAATTTCCCCTGATCCCCTTAGGGAGGAGGCTGTGCACGTCCCTGCCTGCTGGAAGAATGTGGGACGGCTCCATCTGTGACCGCTGGGAATTTTTTACACACTGGCTTTCTTGCATCTGGCTTTTGGGTCAACTTGCCTCTGGTACAGGTAGCAGGAGCTTTGTGGCTTGGGAATCACTGTCCATCCCATGGATCATCCTGGACACAACACTCTGGAAGGTCTGGCCCTGACTTGCTGCATTTGGTCTCTCATGGGCCAGCAGAGTGATGAAAGAGCTGGAGAGCCTGTCTGAAGGAGCCCAGCATGTTTTTTGAGATAAGAGGAAGAGATGACTCAGTTTCTAAGCATGAAGGAAGAGGTTGGTGGCAGCTCTGCAGGAGAGTGCTGAAGGAGACAGGGACTGGCCATGACAGATCCATGTTGTGCTGGCAAGGGGGAGATAATCTGCAAGTGGCTTACAAAGCTTTTGCTGGGTACTCAGCGGGATTCAAGAGGTAGCCAAACATTAAACCAGCCCACAAAACACGAGACTGGATCGATTTTGCATGCTGAGTTTCAACTTAGAGACAAACACTGTTACAGGTATGGCACAGGGCCTGCATGGTATGGGATGTTAACTTGATCAAAACTATTTCCCTTGAGTTTGGGCACTTGAGTCTGGTTCTGGTGTTGGTCTTGGCACCTTGTAGCAGCATTCCCAGCAGACCAGAGGCCAGCAGTAGTCTTTTTCAGCTATATTTTTTTTAGATTGGGTGGGTGGCCTCTTGGCCTCATATAAACAGAATTTCTTAGCTCCTGGCTTTCCTGGTACTTGATACTTTCCTGATACTGTGGTAGCTCATGCTTCTTCTCCAGCCTGAACAGTCCTAGGTTCTAGGTCTTAGGGTCAATAGTTGAACTGGAGAAGTGCATTAGGATTTCTGATGTGTAGCTGTTGTGGGGAAAATGACACCTAAGCCTCAGCTGAGTGCCACAGCTGAATTTGAGGGCTTTGCTTTCATATGCCTCTCTTGTTGTCCCCACCATGCCATGAGCAGCAGCTCCCCTTTTCTTAGCAGTCATTCTTGTCCCCATGCCCAGGAACCTCTGCAGGAATGGTGGAGGGGATGGATCATTCCCTGTGTAGCAGGGGACACAGATGACCCTGTACCCTGGGGGCAAGTGTGTCCCCCACTCAGGGGGAAAGGAGGATTACAGGATATGTCCGATTGGGAATGCAGCTCGAGGTCCGTGTGCCGTAGGGACAGTGCTGAGGAGCAGTGACTGGAGGAGCACAACAGACCCCAGGATCTCAGAGGTACTGTGGAGAGGGAAAGCGGTGTTTTCTTGTCTCGTGCTGCCCCCAGGCAGCCTGGCAGCCCCTTTCCCCGTGGTCCAAGCACACAAGAAAGGTGGATGTGCTGCACAGGAACTGTCTTGTATTTTGCTGTATTTGTGCAGGGCATATTTTAAGAGCAAGCGATACACTGGAAAGAGCTTTTTCCTTGTCAATTTTGGCATGCGTGGCATGCAGCAACAGCCTGGTTTCACATTACTCGTTCTGCCAAATCCACAGAGCTGATATTTGACTTTTCTGAGTAAATATTTCTGAAGGTCTTTGCCTGCTTAAGCAAATCTCTGCTATGGTTCTGAAAAAAATGCCCATGCTTTTCAAGGAGTAGGAACAAATTTCCACAGTAGCACTGGAAATATTGACACACCGCTCATGCCTCTCATCTTACACCATCAAAGGCTGGGCGGTGGAAGCTTGTGAGCCATAATGAAGGGTGTGAGTCAGCATTATTTGCTTCATTTCCCTGTGCTAAACAAGCAACAGTCAGTTTCTGGTGAAGGAATTGATTGTTTGACAATAGAGTGAGTGAGCAGAGCAGGCTGACCACTGTTAAAGCAAACTCTGAGCATGAAAGTCAAGCAGATATGACTCAGAGACAAGTTTCAGGCATGTAGTGCTGTTCTTGAAACATTTTCCGTTGCATCCTTTTCTTTTCTTCAGAAAAAGAAAGCACATAAATGGGAAGGGAGGCTATTAAATAGAGCCGAGGAGGTCTGAACTGAGCTCCTGTCTCAGACTTTCTTGTGACCTTGGGAAAGCTGCTTAACTCCCACCCACAAAGCAGAGATGATCAGTTTCTGTGTTACAAAGCAGAATCAACCACAAACCTCACAACTTTACGTTTGACTGTGTTAGGCAGGACATGTAAGTACCTAAATGAGGAAGAAAGTAAGAAATAAATGCAGTGATTTATTAAAACATAATATTGCAAAATTCCTTCCTTAATTTTCAGGCACCAGTCGCTCCCTGGATTTTTGCTACTTGCTGCCAGTACAAATTTGCTGACCACTGCCTGTAAATGGCCCACTGCTGCTTGTGGCAAAGGCCACAACACCCTCTGGATGATCCTGATTCCTTTGTTTCTTGAAATTCTTGAAAAAATTCCTATTTTTTCCCCTTTAGCCTTCACAAAGAACAGACACAAATATATGCTGTAGAAACAGAGCTGCCTCTTAGGGGAAAACACAGCAGAGGAGTGAACCAACAGTGCAATAATGGGATGGGATGTGCTGAAATGGTGGAGCTGCCCTGCCATCAAATGGGAGACGCCAGGAATCATCCAGACTTTCCAGCAGACTCAGGCAGCCTCAGCATGCTGGGCATCCCAGAAATAGCATTGCTGTTTTGGGGCTGCAGCTCAGAGCTGTCTCCCCAGGATGGGTGTCACCTCTCCCATGCACTTCAGAGTGCAAAGCTTGTGGGGTAAATCACAGTGATCATATTTTTCTCTGTCACTGCCAGGATGATCTCAGCTACCACAGAACAAGTGGAGATGTTCCCTCCACAAGCCCTGAAGAGCCAAGGTAGCAAGAAGAAGGGATCAAACCCTTGTACTTGCAGAGATCCTGGGTATTCCCATCTTGAGCCAGTCAGCTCCTCCCATGGCCAGGAATGAGCAGGGTGGAGAAGTGAGTCTTCTGTAAGTTGCTGGTCCAGAAATGCCCCAAATACCTTTGAAATACCCCAATTCCTTCCCAGTGCACAGAGTAGTGGTCCCCTTACTGGGCCAGTGCTGAGAGGTAGAGCTCTCCAGTCCATGGATCGCCCTCAAAACATCTTTCACCTGAATTTCAGAAAAGGAGTGCTTGAGGCACATGAGCAAGAGGTATCTTGGGGAGAGAGGAAAAGGATTGGGAAGACCATATTCTGCACTCCTTTTCCTCCTCAGCTACACTTTCTAGATGCATTTGGGCTGCCTTTTCGTGGCAGCACAGCAGCTGGATGTCAGCAGTCCCACAGGACTTCTCAGTGCTCCCACAGCAATAGGACCAGAGCAAAGGGGTCCCCGAGCCTACTGGGCTGCATTAGGCAGAGTGCTGCCAGCACGTGCAGAGGGGTGATCCTGCTCCTCTGCTCAGCACCACTGAGACACACCTGGAGTGCTGGATCCAGTGGTGGACTCCCCAGCACATGAGACATGGACATACTGGAGAGAGTCCAGCAAGGAACGGATGATGATGATGAAGGGACTGGAGCACGTCTGATCAGAGGAGAAGCTGAGAGAGCAGGGACTGTTCAGCCTGGAGAAGAGAAGGATCAGACAGGGGGAGCTTGTAAGTGTACTGGTAGGTACTGACAGGGAGAACGAAAGACAAAAGGTGATGAAAACAAGCTGAAATGTGTGAAATCCCATTGAGACTCAGGAATACAACTCCTCTATGTGTGTGCATACCGCGTGTATGTGCTGGTGCTTGTGTCCTGTGTGTGCTAACACTGTGCTGTGCGTATTGAAAGCTTTGTGTTGTGTGGCTGCAATTTGTGTGCACAGTGCAGGTTTTGTGTGCATTTTGTGTGTGTGTGTGTGTGTTGTGTTCAGTGTGTGTGGGATGGTGGTTCAGGGCTCTGTGTGGCCCCAGCTGGGGCTCAGTCCTGTGGGGGCCCCAGGGGGAGCAGCTTCAGCCCCAGAGAGGTCACAGATGGGGCGAGAGGCATGTGGGAGATGGGGCATCTGGCACTTTATGGGGCAGAGATGGGGAAATTTGGGGGTACCTGGGGGGGGTTATAGGACATGTGTGAGGTTGGGAAACACCGTGAGAGTTATCCAGGAAAGCAATGTGACGCCCAAAGGCTCAGGATATTGAGGAGAGGGCTAGGTGCACACCCAGGAGATTGGGGGGCCTAGGGTTGGGAGGGAAGTGGTGGTTATGGGGCACCCACGGGAATTGTGAGACACCCAAGAAAGGGGAGACGACACAGGAGAGGGCAGAGACACCCCAGGAGGCAATGGGACGCCCAGGAGGCTGGAAAAACCCAGGGATTTATAAAGCACATGGGTGCCAAATACAGCTTGGACACGGTTGGGGTCACCCAGGGAGGCGTATGATTGCAGGGTCCCCCAGGAAGCTGATGCTGGAGCCCAGGCCTCTGACACCTCCTTTATTGCCAGCACTAACAGAGCCCCCGACGGGAGGGCAAATCCGCACCGTGTGCCCATGGCACCGCCGTGGTGGGCCTCACTGCGGGGCCGCGTAGGTGCCCGCCAGGTGCACGGGCAGCCCGTCGCGGCAGGCCACGCGCACGTGGTGCTGCGCCTGGCGGGCGCGGTAGGCGCAGGGCGGCCGCGTGTCCCCGCCGCGCAGGCGACAGGCCGTGAGGCTCAAGGCGCCCGGGGTGCTGTGGAACCCTGTGTCGGGGTCGGGCGCCCGGGAGCAGGCGGCCACCAGGTCCTCAGCTGGGGCGTGCACGAAGGTGTTGGAGGGCTTGCAGGGCCTGCCAGGGGCCGTCACCCGCCGCCGCGCCAGCATGGTCTCGCAGTAGCGATGCGCCGCCAGCGTGGACGTCCGGGGGTTGTCCACGTGCTGCCGCAGGAACTTCTCGTAGCGGGTCTCGCCCGCCGCCCCTGCCAGCGCTGCCAGCACCAGAGTCATGCACAGCACCCAGCCCGCCATGGACACCTGGGGAAGGTGGGGTTAGGGCCATCTGGACCCCTGGGCCCCCAGCTGGAAATCCTGCCCTGGGTGCTTGGTTATTCTACAAATTCCCCCTCCAAAATCCCTGGGTCCCATATAATTCCCCTCCCAATGTGTGGGGGCCCATCTCTGGAGAGCTTGGCTCTCTGTGGATCTCACCTGGATGCATGGGTCCCCTAAAGTTTTGCACTTCCCAGAAGCCTCAGCCCTGCATGGAACACCCCCTACCTGCTCCTCAGACCCTTGGTTCCCCTATAGATCCAGCCCATGCCCCAATACCCAGATGCCATACTCAGCCTCCCTTCCCCACTGGATGCTTGGGTTCCTCACAGACCCCTCCCACAGACATTCTGGTCCCGATGCACCCCTCACCCGCACCTGTGTGTGTGCCTCGGTTTCCCTTATGGCCTCAAGGTCTCCAGGATCCCTCCCACTCCTCTGCACCTCTTTTATACTGGCCCCAGCTGTGCCCAATGGGCAAGGATCCAGGAGGAGGGGCAGGGTAAAGGGCAAGGTCCAGTGGATGTCTGGGGAAATCCAGGTATCCAGGAGGCCCCATTCGCCCTCATGGCCTCCAAGGTCATTAGGCAGTCATTAACAAACCACGTGACTGTCTGCGTGCATCCCCTTGGGTGGCCCCTGCCCACTCTGGCCTTGGCCAGTGGTCCCATGAAAGGCAGGATAACCTGGGACCTTTTGGGTTGCAGGGTGAGGTACGTGGTTCCCTGGTGGGGAGCAGGATGTCACCATCGCCTCTGGGGCAGCTGGCAGATGTTACTACAACTCTTGAAAGATGTGGCACATCTGTGGCTGTTCTGCAGTGCTAAGGGTATTTGTTCCTTTTCCCTGTGTCCCCTTGCAGGCAAATTCATACTCCTGGGAAGTGCCTGGATGCATTTTTCCTCACTGCTACCTCCCATGCTCCCAGCTGCTCCATTGATGCAGAGACAAAGCAAAGAGCCAGGAGCCAGCCTGAGTCCATCAAAACTCCAACTCCTCTAATCTAATGCGTATTCCTCATCGATCGGTCCATATTTATTTGTATGACGTACTCTTACGGGATGCTTGAAATACAAAGTTCATCAAGCAACTTCCATTGCAGAAAATACCAGACGACGTCACTTACGTTTACAAAAGGTGACAAGATTCAGTCTGGGGACAAATAATTCAGCTTGAAGACATCAGAATGGGCAGGAGGTGGCACTTGCCTTTCGCCCGGGCACAGTCGGTGTAGCGAACCTCATCCCTGTGGTTCTGCCCGCCCGCACAGCGGCCCCACTCGGGCATCCCTATTTGCAGCGCTGCGCCGCGCTCCGGCCAGGAGTCCCGGGCCGGGGCACAGGGATCGGGAGTCCCGGGCCGGGGCACAGGGATCGGGAGTCCCGAACAGGGTGCTCCGCAGGGCTCCAGGCGGGGGCGCACACGGGCACGGGCTCCCCCCGCCCCCCCCGTGCCGTTGGTTCCGTCCCGCCGTGGTACATCCCGGGCGGCCGCCCCCGCTCCCGGCGCTGGAGGCGGCCCCGTTCTCGCAGGTCTCGCGCGAGTGCCGGTCTCGTATAATCTCGCGGGAGCGCGCACGCCCCGCCCTTTCCGCGGCGCGGGCCGGACGATGGCGGTCGGGAAGAACAAGCGCCTCACCAAGGGCGGCAAGAAGGGCGCCAAGAAGAAAGTGTGAGGGCCGCCGGGGCACGGGCGGGCGGTGCCCGGGGGCGCCGGGCGGGGCGCCGCGGCGGCGGGATGCCGGGGATGCGGGGCGGATGGCGGTGGCGGCCCGGCCGGAGCAGGGCCGATGCTGTCATGGCGTCAGCGGGTGTGGGCCCGGCGGGGCGGGAGCAGCGGCGGGCATTCGGAGAGGAAGGTCTTACTGCAGGCCGGCCTGAGAAAGTCGTTTAAAAAAGTCTTCATTTGATTTAAGGGTCGACCCTTTCTCCAAGAAGGACTGGTACGATGTCAAAGCACCGGCGATGTTCAATATCCGAAACATCGGGAAGACGCTTGTCACCAGGACTCAAGGAACTAGTGAGTACTTGGGGTTGGTGCAGTACAGGGGATTGTGTTTGCTCCGTGTGCTGCCTCCAAGTGGTTAAAGAACTTTTTTGGACAATAAACTGCTGAAAAACGGGTTTTACTTGTACTAATACGAACTTGGAAGCTAAAAAAGTTGGATGATTTGAGTGGTGGTTTGTTTTTTTTTTTAGTTGACCGAGTTGTTTTAATAAATGAGCTTAGCTGCGGGGAAGTTCATACACTGGGCTCTTGTTTGTACAAGAAAGCCAAACCATGGAAGGAAAGGTCTGAAGTTTCTAATGAGCTTCTCTTGGCCAGTTAGGAAAAGTTGAAGAAGTAAGCAGTAGTTCTGATTGTCACAGGGGAGGTGTGTGACAGTGCCACAGGAGACCTTAGTCTTAATGAGATCGTAACATCAAAACACTAAAATCTCTGAGATTGAAAGATTTTGGGTGAAGGTAAGAGCTGGAATTGCTGGCTTAATGTGAGCACTGCTGTATCACTGGAGGGCAAGTTTGGTTTTATATGATCTGGATATATGGTGTCTGGATAGAGGTAATCGTATTTTTGGAAGCTTAGCCACGCAGAATGGCTAAGTAGCTTTAGGATACTCTGCTGGTTGCACTCAAAGTTAGGATGATGATTGTTTGACTTGTAACATGTGAAACAAATAAAATGAGGGTCACTGCCAAACGAAGTGTGAACCAGCCGGTTTTATTAAAATGGTTCCTCGTTGGAGGAGGAGCTGTGAAATTATTGTGCTGGCCTGTTCATGGCTGCATCATCTCTGCTGTGCACTTGGGGCTTTTTATGTTTAGTTTTTTCATTACTGTTCATAATTTCCAAATACTCTGTAACCCCTTTATGCTTGAAACAAACCAAATTATTACACATGGTGGAATCTGCTGTATGCTGATGTTTGTATCCCACACCTGATACTATCACCTTAAAAAGATTCCTCCCAAAGGGAGGAATTTCCACCCTTGCTGGTTCTATGAGAACGGGATTCCAGTGGGAATTCAGTGTCTGACTTGAAGAATGTGCTTCTAATGTTAATCTAAGGTGTTTTATTCTGTTCCATCACACAGAAATTGCCTCTGACGGGCTGAAGGGCCGCGTGTTTGAAGTGAGCCTGGCTGATCTGCAGAATGATGAGGTTGCCTTCCGCAAATTTAAACTGATCACTGAGGACGTTCAGGGCAAAAATTGTCTGACCAACTTCCATGGGATGGACCTCACACGGGACAAAATGTGCTCCATGGTCAAAAAATGGCAGGTGTGTAAGAAACAAGGTCTGTGTCGCTGCCTGTGCCTTCAGGGAGGGAGGGAAGCGATGGTGCCTGGCAAAGCCGTGTTTGAAGCGGCATCAGACGGCGTTGGGGGTGTGGGGCTGGGCAGCCTGTCTGCTGCGTGGGTGGTAAAGGTTCAGTGCTTCCTCTTTCAGACAATGATTGAAGCCCACGTGGATGTCAAAACTACGGATGGGTACCTGTTGCGCCTCTTCTGTGTGGGCTTCACCAAGAAGCGCAATAACCAAATCCGCAAGACTTCCTATGCCCAGCACCAGCAGGTCCGGCAGATCCGCAAGAAAATGATGGAAATCATGACCCGGGAGGTGCAGACCAATGACCTGAAGGAAGTTGTCAATAAGCTGTAAGCTTTGGCCCTGTTATTTTTTTCTCCCCTGCAGTTTAAATTGTTACTTGGGGGTTGGTTGTTGCTGAGTGCCTGGGGAATGCTGGGGCATCCCGAGCTGTTTGTCAGAGACCAGGCAAGGAGCCCCTCGTGTGGAAAAGCCAATTGCCCTTTTCTGCAAGTGTTTCCTCTTAGTCTCTGCATCGTGTCTGACTTCAGTCTGCTGTCATGTTTGCATAAATGTAAATCACTCTGCAGAAAATTAGTGGTACACATTTCTGCAAACTGAAGTTGTAATTCTGATCTGTTGGGACTGTGAATGTTCCGAGCTCTTCTGATAGAAGAGTTTTTCAAAGTGTGCTGATTGCTTCCAAAAGTTCGCAGATTTGCTCTCAAAATGAGCACACTTGCACTACGTCCCTTCTAACATTGAAGGGAGGTGTCTTAGAACTTAACTGTACTTGAAGAAAATTGTCAAAGCAATGGCGTAAACTTCTGTAGAGTATTTCGTATTCTTAAGGGTTTTTTTTAAAGCCTGTGTTACTGCTGCAGAAGCAGGCAGAGTTTTTAGCATAAGCAGGTGGAGTTTTTAGCATTGTGGTGCTCTGTGATTTCCCAGGATCCCAGACAGCATTGGCAAGGACATCGAGAAGGCCTGTCAGTCCATTTACCCTCTGCACGACGTCTATGTCCGCAAGGTGAAGATGCTCAAGAAGCCCAAGTTTGAATGTAAGTGGGTTACTGCAGACATTTGGAGGAGGGTGTGGAAAGGAGTTAAATTGATTTGCTTTTGGATAAAGATGTTACAGCAGCATCAATGAGCTTAAGTAGTTGTAGAAGGGAAGTAGTGTGTCCTTGTTGCCACGTGTGCCTTGCAGGATTGAAAGCCAAGCAGTGAGCGTTCAGTTTGAAGCTGCTTGAATTCTTGCCTGGAATGCTGCTGAGTGTTGAAGAGCTTTGCTTTGGGAATGAATGATGACAAAATGTTTCGGTCCCAGATGATGTGGAATGATTCCATTTCACCTTTTTCTGACATTCCCATGTAATGCAGCAGTAGGTTCCTGAGTTGTATTACTACTGGACAATACTACTGGACTTTTTTCCTTTTAGAAAAAAGGTGTGGTTTGTAGTTTGATTGCATAGCCTTACTTCACTGCTTGTTTCTGTTTGACTGTCATTGCAGCAGCATATCTGTGCATGAGCTGTCTGCAATGGACTTAGTCCTACCTACAGAAAATGTTCTGCTTTCCATTCTGAAATGGTGGTTTCACTTGTGTATGATGAGTAATTGAGTAATTTAATATGGTTTTAACAGGTCCATCTCTCACTGTTTCTGTCACTGCTTCTTTTTAGTGGGCAAGCTGATGGAGCTGCATGGTGAAGGTGGTGGTGCTGGAAAGCCCTCTGGGGATGAGGCAGGCACTAAGGTAGAGCGAGCTGATGGATATGAGCCACCCGTGCAAGAGTCTGTGTGAAACTAAAAATTGGTGGAAAATAAAAGGTTTTAATATACAGAACTAATGCTTGGTTGCTTGTATTACTACTGGACAATATTGGTACCAGATGTGTGGATGAGTTTTCAATAAGGTAAACTTATGGTCTTGGTTTAAAAAAAATAAAAAAGTACTCATGTACTTCTCCAGTTGTGTTGTGGAGATGGGTGGAAGAAGGTGGGTTATCCTTTTTGTGGATTCTCTTATGTTGGTTTTTCCCAGTAATTTTAGTCCTCACCAAAAAAACCTTGTGTATGTGTGCAGAGGTTGTATTGGTGAGAGGTGCCTCAGAGAGTACAGGGAAGGCAGAAGTTGCACAGGGAAACCTGTGTCAGAATTTGGTATTATTGGGAAGTCTTGCAGTTTTATCCAGATGACTTGCTTCAGAATAATGTGCCTATGTTTAAATTTGGTAATTTTATGCAACCTTTCATGGGATAGGTGTGGTCTCTGGTGGTCAGAAGGTGTTTGAAGGTGTTAAAGTTGTAATTATGATGATGGGAGCAGCGTTAATTTCAACCAGTGCAGAAATCCAGAATGTGCTTGAGCAGTGGGGTTGGGTGTTGGATTTTAACCTGTCAGAACTGAGGGATGACTATAAGGGAGAACCTGTGGAACTTCAGGGAGGAAAAAAATTCTGTAAAAAGGCAATGCTGTGCATTCTGAAAACAAAACACTTGTTTTTGCTGAGTAATTGTAAGATTGTTTTCCATTATCTAACAGCATTTTTGCTTCTTGTTCAACTTACGTTGGCTAAAAGAGTGATTTTCCTGGCTAAAATGAGTTTTGTGTGCTATCAATGTGTTCTATTTGTTAGAATAGGGCAACCAACTTAGTGCTGTTAAATTTTTGGTAAGTTAGTCATTTAGACTCGAGAGCAAAATGCAGAGTTCACTGAAACCGCTGGCCCTTGCAGTTGGTTGTCACAGAGCTTAGGACAATAAAGGAAAATAGTGAAAATGTTACTGTTACAACAAAGCTACTGGGGAAAAGGAGAAGGGGCCCTGCTATCCATGAAGGCAGTACTGTTCCCTGTCAGGGATTTTCATATTTTCCTAGTTGATTATTCTGATTTGGACCAAATAATAGGCAAAATGGTTTGAGAAGAATGGTTTTGAACTTCAGAGTGCCACAGGTGATGTGATTTTGTGATTCCAAGTTACAGTTTTAGTATGTTCTGGTTTTTCCACTTTGTGTACTGGAAGGAGGAGTAGTGAGTGCTCAATACTCAGAACCTTGGAACAGGGGGAAGGAATCATGTTGCTGTGTTCTTTCCATCTGTACTGCTGAGGCAGGTGTCACCTGCCTTCAGGAGTCCCAGACAGGCACATATTTGAAGGGGTTTTGTTACTTCCGTATCTGAGGACTGTATGGTGCCAAAAAGTCCAGGAGGATTTGGGGAAAGAACAAGGACCTGGGTTTTTTTTTTGGCTTTTAAATGTATTGTTTGGAACAGTGCATTGCCATGTAGGCATTCTGGGTAAATGTAGGCTTTGTAATGTGATTTCTGGTGGGGGGAAAGCAGGAAAAGAAATACCGTGCACCCTGTATTCTCTCAGTGAGTACTAGCTGAAAAATAGTAGAGTATGAAAGCAGCCATCAGCAGAGCACACCTAAATTATATGCAGGATCAGGCCATGTCTTCCTCGCAACGTTATCACAGTGAGAACCACAGTGTGTGTGACAGCCAGTGGTGACGGGTGCTTGTTGCAGGTAGGAAAATGCTGTAGGTGGTGAGTGTGAGGCATACCCAAGTCTAAAGGCTTGAATAACCTGTTAAAATGATCCAGATTCTCTTGAGGGGTTTGGACTACTTGTCTGGGGGTGGAGTGTTACTTTCCAGCTGGGCTAAATATATAAGCAGAATAAGATCTCTCTTAACTGTCAAGTAGAAAGCTCAGCTCTCCACAGCACAAGAATTTAAATGCTCTCATAACTTAATTATAAAAATTTTATTGGTTAAATACATTCTTAATTTACAGAGGTACCATAACAAACTTACTGGACTTAACAAAGGTTTATTTAGGACACTGTTCATTGTACAGAGAACAAAGACATCTTCCTGAAGATATTTCCAGAGGATGGGTCAAACAAAATATTTTGGTAGGTGAGGCTCTTATTCTAATGCATGGAGATCTAGCTGGATTTCAAGGTTAACAGCTGAAATTTGCTACTACATTGCAGTTAAAATTTGCACTCTACCTCGTTCTCGGCTTTTTTGTACACCTTAGGAATTTTACACTGTGATCTGTATGCGGTCTCACGGTGGTGTTGGGCACTGTCTTAGGAAAATCCTGTCCTGTAAAAGCCGAGCATCTCCCTTGCTTCAGCGTTCACACAGACGCCGTTTCAGCTGCCTGCAGCCATGTGAGCAGCCCGTAGATGGCACTCAGTGCTCTGAGTAAAAGGCCTTGCTGCTACTCCTGCCCTTCCCCACAGGGAGGAGATTACATACAGCAGAGTGGTCTTGTCAATGAACAGGCACTGACTTAAACATTCAGTGAAGTTACAAAAACAACTGGTCAAGACGCAGCTATAAAAATGGGAGAGGAAATTGAAAAAAAATATAAAAAAATCAGTTCTATTTTTGAGATTTGTATCAAAACCTTAGAAAACTGCCAGACAAACAGTAAGTAAACATCATACACTTTAGCCTCATCTACCACCACATTGGTGCAGTATGTTTTTGAAGGACCTGGCTATTCCTTGGATTTCTCTAGGAGATGACTGTTTTTTTTTTGGAATAAACAAGAACCTTTAGAATCTATTAACAGGAAAACCTGGGAGAGTGGGAAGGATTGTCCTTGGCTGTGGACGTCCATGTGATTCCACAGGAGTTCCAGACAGGCTTGCTGGGGCTGCTAAAACTAAGTAACAGCTGGTACCCGTGGTTGCATTTCCAGCCTTCTAGAACAGCACCTAATTCAGCATTTTATTTACTATGTTAGTCCCTAATGGAAGTAGAAGTCCAGTTCCTCAGCTCATTAAAACTTTGTGTGGTCTTCATCGCCCTGTTGTGTGAAGGGTTTTGGTGTAGTTTAAACACAACAGAACACAAAGCTGGGGGGCTGGGTCTGTCTTTGCAGGGTCTGTGGCCCAGCAGTGCCTGCTGAGTGAACAGTGCTGTGTCTGCACTGCAGGTCCCTCAGGCTCGCTCCAGTCTCCCACTGGGAATGGATGCCCATTCCTTGCTGGGGGAGGCCTGCAGTTCTGGCTATGCCTATTCCTGCCTGCTGTGATGGTAACCAGAGCACAGGGAGGGCAGTGCACCCTCCCCAGCCTGCTTAGGCCCCAGTTCAGGTGCACCCGAGTCCCTCATAGCAGCAGGTAGTTGTTGCTGTGATGCTTAGAGCTCACACCAGTGAAGTTGTCAGCAGGGATATGACGAAGTTAAAACTAACTCAAGGTCTCTCATCATGATTCTGGTTTCCAGTCTATCCATCTCCAGCTGTTGGCCCCTCTGCCAAGCCCATGAAGGAAAGTCTTGTTGAAGGTATCTCGATACCCAGTGACCTGCAGTTCTCTGGAGCAATGACTCACCAGCCTACAGGTTCCTTTTTGTGATACAGTGCACAAGGGGTGGAATACTGGCAGCAGTGAAAGAAGCAATTGCAGCGTAATTTCTTCTATCCCAGTCTGATGGAATTAGCAGTTAATCAGGATTCTATTTAACTATTTTGTCAGAAACCAGATTTACAGAAAGGAATTGACTATTGGAAGTTCCTATAATGTGAAACTACCTCAACCATTTTAGTTGGTCAGTCAAGCTACACTGCTGCTTTTTACCAAGTGCCTTGGTTAGAGCTGCTGGGAGTAACTTCTTGCCAGCCATGTTTTCCTTAAGGCCTCGACAGACCATTTATAAAGATGCTCAGAGTATTCGGTATGTGGCAACAAACTGGAAAGTAATCCCATGTCTGCTGAAAACTAAACCCAAGGCTGTATAATATCCTTCATGTTAAGGATAGGAATAGTGTTACTGAAGTATGTTCCAGTGCTTGAGTGACAAATAAAATGCAGACTGAGTGAACACTGGCTTTCCACTTCCATGAGGGGAGTGGAGGGGCAAATAGTTGGAATAGTGCAGCTACTCCATGGCTTGGATCTGAGAAAGCTCAATAAACACTGTCACCAACTTCAGCTGGGAAAGAAGGGTAGGATGGTGCTCAAAGATCAGTGGGCAGTAGGAAAAAACTAAACCTGTACTTGCAAAGTATTTTGGGGAAAGTGAGGAAGGTCTAAGATGATTCATACCAATTTAAACAGAATTCATTAAAAGGCAAAACACTTAAAAATTTTACTTCTGTGATCTTGCTGTATGAGCAGCTTGGGCTAAGAATAGAAGGATACTACACAAGGATTTATTTCTCCATTTCCCCTCTTACCAGTATTAGATTTGATACTTTTCTACTATGAAATACCAGTTATTTTTCTTATCCTCTAAGTCATAAAACAAGTGGATTCTACTGCTAATGTGGAACTCAAGCAGTAATGAAACCTGAATATCAAACTTCATCTACATACTGAGTGCTGTAATTATATATTAAAACAATTTTTAAAGTTTGGATCTTAAGAAGTTCAAAGAAGGCCAAAGCAGCTTGTGTTATGCAGACTTTGTGCATGATAAATGTAATACCAGAGAGTAAACATACTAGAATGCTATATAAGTTAAAATGGTGTTGCACCACAGTATTTCCCTAGTTGGAAATGGCTAAGAGCCTGCTTGTTTTGCTCTCTGAGCATTCATGAAACATGACTACATACACTGTCACAAAAGACTCAAATTTTCTTATCTGACTTCAAGATACTACTATGACTGTCTAGAAAAAGTAGTGCAAAACATTGATTATCAACACTCGTTGATGTCTTTGCTGTGCCTTTAGGGTAGAAAACATTCTCTCCCACACACAGGGAGTATTACAAAGGCAACACTTCACGGTGTTTTTACAATCTGAACAAAGTTCTTGGGAAATATCCCAGACTTTCCTAGTATCTCTCCACTCATCCAGTCCTCGTCTACAGATTCCAGCTCTGTTATCATGTCACCTGCCTGTAAGAGAAGGAATAAATGTGAGTCAGTACAGCTTACTGTGCAATGTTACTGAGCAATGTCAATGCGTGCAGAGATGATCCCATTTAGAAGCAATTAATATCAAGGAGTAGAGGAGTAAGTCGTGGCTAGTCTCTTCCATTAGTTACATCTCTTGGAGACTGCCAAAACCAGCTGAAGCTTCTTTTAGGCTAAATACTTGTCTATGCTGAAAAATCACCACCGTTGGAGAGACAGAAGAGCACTGCCGGATAACTTTCCACATTGGTTTGGCTTTCCACATATGTTAAGAGCTGGCTCATGGGGTCCTTGCTTTACTGTTTATTTGTGTGTGTTTCCAGGGTTTGTTTTCTTAAAACACTATAAAGATTATATTTTTAAAAAAATTAGTCCTAGTATTTTCTAGCACTTGGAAACTTTCTCCCCTCCAAAAAGAAGAAATGCAATCTAATTTAAACTGCAGCTCCTGTGTTTGGTCCTGGCTGTTGTTCTCACCGTCCCATGCCACGCCCTTCATCTGAAGTACTGGCCTTTCTTTCAGTACCTCTATTCCCCTTTTCTGCTTTAAAGAATCATCTATCCTTTCAGCATTGCAAGCTGCTAATGCTGAAACTATTTTGCTAGTTTTTAAAGAGAAAATACTGTGTGTTTCAGCTCCTGTGGAAGTCTACCATTTCTCAGAAATTTGCTTTTGAGAACTTGGTTATCTAAATCAAGGGCACTCTGTTTCTTGTTCATGCTTAATATGATCAGGGCATTCAGCATGTATTTAATTTTTCCCCTCATTCCCATGGCAACTCTGTCTTGTATTGCCAGTTCAAGATTTTGCTGTACTAGGTTTCTCTTAGAGGCCTGGCTGCTGTAGCACTGTCACTCTCACCATTACCTCCTGCTCAGAGTTTTCTTTCTAGTCCAAAGAGACGCTCCCTTGACCATATAAACCAATCAGGAACTGAATGCACTGCAAAATAAGGTCTGTTTATCTTGTCATATTAACTAGAACAGAGAAGTCAAGAATTCTGCAACTCCTGACCTCTTCAGTGTCTCTAATGAAGATTTTTGCTGATAGGAAATAGGAGTGATAAGGAAAAAATATTTTCTAGAGACCACTTATCAAACGTATTAATATTTATGCATATTAGTATCTATGTTAATATCTATGCACTTCATCCTTCTTGTCTAAAGCCTATTTTCACAGTGGATGAACCTTATCTTTTAGCACTCCTTAGGAGCATGAGACCTCTTGGAAATTGGTCTAAGAGAGGTACTTACTTTGAAGGAAAGCTCATCTTCATTTTCTCCATGAAAATCATAAAGAGCTTTGGCTTTCCCTTTCTTCCCTCCTCCAGGCTGTGACAGCTCTACCCTGGCTACAGAACATGGACAAGAGAAGTTACTTGCACTGGAGTGAAATAAATCTCTGTTTCTGGAGAAGTTTCCTGTCATTCTCATGTTTTCTCCCCGCTATTGTGCTAGAGGTTCTCCAAATGTTATTGCTACTGCTGTAACAAATTCACTGTCCTACCAGAATTAAAAAAAAACAACTCTATTGCCACCAGTCCATTTTATAGTATTAAACAGTCTCACAGTTCTGCTTCTAAGCAGACTAAATTTGAAACTCACTTAACGTGAACATCCCAATGGTGATACATAATAAATGCTGACTTTCTCTCTTTCTGCTCTAAGATGAAGCAGCATCAATACTCCTGCATTATTCCTAAAGGCCTTGTTTTGCCTATGCCCTAACCACACTGGAAAATATCCCAGAGTCTGTGTCACCTCACAGATTACTTACTGACTAGAACATTATATTGCCATTATTAGAGAAGCTGGTTCAAAACTTAAGTTTAGCTTTAGAATACTAAACACTCTGGTGGTGTGTGACTTGTTGATGCCGTTGTGTTCTCCCACAGAAGTCATGACTGACACAATCCAAGGAATAATGAATTGCCATCTAGTAGGAGTACTGTACCTGAGGAGGTCTGAACAAAAACTGCTGGGAAAATCCCTTCCTTTCCATTCAGTCTTCCTCTATACCACTCCAAATCTACTTGTTCCAGTATTTGGATGTAGTCTCCCTTTTTGAAGGATAAATCATCTTTGGTTTCTGCTGTAAAATCGTGAAGCGCTTCACACCACTCTACTGAGCGTCTGTTGTTCTATTCAAGTTAACAGAAGAGATGAATTAATTTTAGATGTGTGAATACAGCCCAAAAACTGGTGGATGCTGCTGAAAGCAGCTGTACAGCACATGGGTGTCCCAACACCCTCCCAATACAACAGTGCTGCTGCAGATGTAGACTAGAATGGCATTTCAGCAATTACCACCACAGAATTTCATCTAGGCTCAGCCACATTCCTTTTTATCTCTGGTGGCAGGGGAAAGGATTAATAAATTCCAAATTAGATCACTGCAGAAATACTTAAAATAAGAGCTAAAAAGAATTTTCTTCAGCACAAAGGATAAAAATTTACCAATGTTAATTTGTCCAAAGCTCTGAATTAAATCAGCTTAGGCCAAGTGTCAGAACTGAGCCGTGACAATGCAGCATTGTGTGCTGTGGGAGTGGTGTCGGGTTCTGCTGTTCCTCTCACATTATAATAGTCTCTGTAAATCTGTACATAAATTTTGGCTCTCACCTAGAAAGTTTTATTACCTGAGGAAGGGAAGACGAAACCTCCTTATTCTTCAGTGCTGCTTCTGTATCTACATAAGTAAAGCACAACTTAAGAAGAGGAGCAATGTCCATTCAGAATGTTACTAATGACAGAGATTTTAGATATTTGAAGTCATTATTAAGAATAGCTTCTTAAGAAGTTCTACTGTTAATTTTGAGGGTTTTTTTTAATCAGTCTTCCCCCTCTTTTTACCTCCTTTCTGGAATCATTGTCCTTTTGGAATTTTCTCCTATATGCTGCCTATTTGCTTTAGGTACAAAACCATGCTCTTGAAGATTTTTGCAAGCATATTCATACCTGTTCCAGGCAGATCTTCAATTACTTCCACAAAGTTCAAGGGGAAAATTCCAGATGTGCCTCTGAGCTCTCCTTTGGCCCACTCTTCATTTACATATTCTTTCAGGATAATAGTTTCACCTTCTGAAAAACTGAGCTCATCTTTCTGATCACCAATGTATTCAAATCGTGCTACACATCTTGGACCTCTGCACAAACAAAAGAGAAAATTACTTTGCTTCTTTATTATTACTGTCCACTTAATAATAAGACAGCATTGTGTGAAATATATGGATTGATGTTTTAATTAAAATGATAAAAAATGCACTGAAGATAAAACAGGTGGAAAACTGGGGGCCAGCCCTGGTTCTCATCTCTGCTTTCTGAGGAGGATGAGTACAGAGTCTGGAGGAGCCAGATGCAATTTCTGCATCCCAGTTGCTGTCTGTATTTTGCAAAAGTCCCTATTTCCCTTCCAAGCAACAATAAATCCCCTTGTTTTTGGGTCACCAGTCCAATTTCTCATCTTTGCCTATATCCAAACAAGTGTCCTGATACACTTTCGTTAAGAGTTTGATTATTTTTCGAGCTAGCATCCCATTTAGATGCAATCAAACATGGGTGTGGGGGGGGTGAGTGTTGTGTATTTGTCCCAAATATATGAAAATTTAATAGGAAGAAGCTAGTTTTTATTTACTTTAAAATTCTGTAAAATTCATCCCTATAATCTTATAGGGGGAAAAGCTTATCTATCAAAGAAAAACATCAATGCATCTGATATATTTTATATACTTTGGTACAGTACTGAAAAAAAAACCTAATTATTTTTCCCCCTGACTTAAATAAATTTCATTATTTAAGAACCTAATAAATTAAAGAAATTAACCTAAGAAAAATTTTGGTTTATCGGAAATGCCATGCTGGAAAAAAGCAGTAATAGGCTTTAATTCTTTCTGTATATTCATAGCACACAAAGTAAAAAGCTTGATTCCCACCCCTGTCCCCCACTCAGTAACTTTCCAAAGATGTGTCTTTCAGGACAGAGATTTTCTGTTTCTTTCACAGCTCCAGAAGCAGCTTTTTAAAATAAAGTTTTGTTTCTGACAAACCAAGCTTCATCTAAAGAACAACTGAATGATCCCACTGACATTAGTTGCTCCTTCCTGAATTTGCTTTAATTCCTGGAATGAATGATTATGAAATCCAGTAGATACCACTGAGAAATAAATAGCATGAAGAATCGTTTCTTGCCCACAAATATTAGTACAAATTGTTTGAAAATCATAAATGAAAGTGCTGGCAATTCATTTGATAATTTGGGGGGAGCTTTAGATTTACCTGTACAGCTGCACACCTTAAGGACAGACAGATTTCTCTGCTTAAAGTACCTCTGTCCCATATCTTGTTCTTTCACATGAGTAGGAGCCCTACCATGTTCCATCTTGTGAGAACACTGGAAGAAAGCAGCAAGGCCAGGAGCAAAGAGAGGAGTGTACAGTGCTGCTGAAGTTAATGAGATTGGTTCATGGCTCCTGGAGCCAGTTTTCATGACCGTACAGTTTTAGGCTTTTTTAATCTAAATATGAGTCTTAATAAATCATCATAAACATCCAGGGTTTTAAAACATGTAATTTAATATTTACAATGTATTTTGGTGAATAAATTGTTAGCCCTATTAACCTCACTGAGGGATGAGAGCCCCCGCTTCAAAGTTATTATTTCTTTTTCATTCCTCGTAAATCAACATGAGAAAGAGCAAATAAGATTCATCTGACTCACTTGATACATCGTGATGAAGAGGGTATTTTTTTCCTGTTGGCTTCTTCTGGAACATCAATCTAATAAGACAATAAAACAAATTGTATGTTCCATTGCAACCTCATGGCAACTAACCACAATAAGCCTGAAACTGGTTAATATAATGTTTTTCAGATGTGTGACACTCTGTAATCGTTAGCATGCTCTGATACATGACTACATTAATGTAAATTTATGCCTGTTTTCTCATTTTTTAATCTTATGCAAACAAGGAGAAATATTTAATGTTTTGTTTTATGAAGCTGGTTTATTGTTTCTACTGGTGGAATGCTTGATTGACGGAATATGTAACTAGATTCTACTACATGTTGTTGAATTTAGATCCCAATTCTCAACTGGTAATTGCTCTTAATTATTTACTAGCACAGTATACCACAACAGATGAAACTACTGTTTATGCTTATTCCTTCTGTGCTTTGGTAGCCAACTGCTCTCCAAACAAAAACACATCTCACAAATCTCACTTGAACTGGAGAAATACAACTTAAAAAATCAATACACAGATATATCAAAGAGACAACATTCAAGTCCTTTATCACAGGAGGACTTCAATTGTATTTTTGGTGTGACATGAAGGATGTACAGGAGATTTACAGGACTATGAGCTGAGAGGCCCTGGTGAGGAGCTTTGGGTTACAGCTCACTATTGTATCAGCCAGTTCTCATAAAATCAACAGGAATGTTTCATTAGCTTGTGTGAAGCACGGGAGGAAATCACAATGCCTTTTAGGACAAATAGTCTCTGCATTGCTCTTGCTGAAGGAGCTGGTGTTTGTGGTGCTCTGAAGGTTCTACGGGAAATCATAAGTATGTATTATTGTTAGGTGTCCAGATCCAAGCTACTACCCAGCTCAATATTGTAAAACACTCTGTAGTGTATTGTATGGAGACCTTGTATCAAGATGAAATTTGACATGAATTAGCAGGAGAATTCACTCAAGTAAATTCGCCTCATGTACTGCACTCTTTTTTCTTTTTAAAAAAACACAAATTCTGAAACAAAAGATTTTTGTCCACAAAGGGTAATCATCTTTTACAACTAAAATAGATACACATCTTCCAGCTTTTATGAAGTTATATCTGTCTGCATCAATGATGAGTCTGAGCCCCAAATACTCACTCCACTGCTTTAACATAAAATATTTTCTTCATTAGCTATCAGTAGAAGCAAGAGCATTTAAATTGAATTGCTGGTCTGTGTAGAAGCAGCCAATCACTTTAGCTAACAAATCTTTCTTGTGAAAGTGAATCAAGCATTGTTCCATTACTACTAACTATGAGCTTAGTTTTTATTCTTCAGCACTTCTCAGATCTTAAAATTTTTCTCCAATACTAATTACAAACTCAACAGACACCCTACCTTCTCTAAAGTCTACTAAAACCTTGGTATTGCCCATGTAGCAGCAGGGCTCACTCTGCCAGCTGTGCTGGCCCAGGGAATGTTGCCACAGACACTTCCTGTCTTTAGTGCCAAGCCATGCACTAAACCATGCACCCAGCATCCTGGTGACACTCTGGCATTCCTCCATGTCCATATGGCTGGTGTGGACAGACCAGTGCCTTTTCCACTGTCACAAAATGGACTTCAGACTCAGGCTTGCAATAGGTTTGACCCAGCATTTGTCTGCAGGGAACCATATTGTATCCCTTTTAAATTAATTATCACCGGGCTTCAAAATAGCACCTGTCTCTTGCCTTCCGCTCACTGTCAAGTGTCACATTCAGGAACAGGATTGCTTTAAGCTGCTCATTTGCAACAACACAATCTCCTTGCACTGTGCCAGCACAACCATTTGTGCAGTCACTTAGAAAACCACTTAGGTAAATTGACCCTGTTGGAAAAAACAGTACTCTAGGATGAAAAAAAACCCAACATGTTTTTTTTGGCCAAATTGCTACTCTGACCTAGTTTGCTATATGGCTAAAAAAGTGGTGATTCCAGCAAAGTTCAAGGGATAAGAAAAGAACAGAAGATGAGGAGCTGGAGGGAGGCAAAAAAATCAACCCTCTTTTACCAAGTGTTGATTCTGACATGCCACTGTCAAAAAGAAAAATCTGCTTTGAGGACCCTGAGAAACTACGGATGTTTCCAAAGAGAATCTGGTAGGGGCAATGATTTTCTCACTTGGCTTTAAATTGATTGCAAATTATTCCCCATAACACAAGCTGGTTGTGCCAAATCAAGCATCTTTCTAATACCACACAAACAAGTTGATGAGTCTTCTGTGCTGCCAGTGGGATAAGAGATTATCTAAACACGTAATGGAATTAAACACACAGGAGCCTTACTAAAACAGAACCAGAAAACAAATGTAACAGGATCTTATGTATAAATGTATACAAAGCCTACATACAACCACTTTAACAAAGCTGGCAGGAAATATCCCTGTGCGATTCCCACATTTTCCTCTGTACCACTCAGTATCAATTTTCTCCAAAAGACAAACAGTGTCTCCAGAATGAAGGTCCAAGTCGTCAGCATGCTCTGGAAGACAACGTTATTTCAGTTAACAGTACTTGTCACACTCACTAATTTCCTCTAAGTAAAACCTTCTTAAATACAAATAGCACAGACAAAACCAGAATCAGTTTTTAAAAAGTCTTAATTTTACTTGATAAATAAATCAATCAGCTTTAACCAAAAGACTGGCCCATCTCCAGCTAAACCCACTGATTTGAACAACTCTATGCGCAGACCTTGCAGACTGAGCTTCCACACCATTTTTAAGCTCTAATTTCTAAGGAAATTTCCATTTGAAAGTCTTGGAGTAAAACATGCTTCCAGAATGTTCACATTTACTTACCTGCAGGAAAATCATACAGGACTACAGCATGAGGTGCACTTGTGTCAGAAGCTTTTGGAGGGTGGTTTGAATCCTGACAACAACAAATAAATTCAAGTAGTTTATAAATCATAGAAGATACTAACATATTCTCTGTTATGTACTCCTAAATTAATTTTCTGACTTTGGACACGGAATTGTGCTGGTATTGCAGAAGGAAATGGTTATTGCTCACACAACTATGGGTCTGAATTCTGTATGCCTTTTGCCAGTGTAAACAAGAATACATTTCACCAAAATCTACTTTTGGAAGGGAAGGCATGCAATTTTTCCAAGTATAGAAAAAGCCTCAGCTATCTCTGTGGGCCAGAAATCTGTAGCACTGATAGCAACACTCATTGCAAGGGCTGTGGACAAATTTTGCACAGGTGCTTGTTAGTGTGTGCCACCAGTCTCTCTTCCTTGCTCAGGGAACACCCAACTCAACTCTCCGCCAGCACACTCAGCAGGGCCAGCACACATGCCAACAAACATTCCAAGAGGAGCAAGGAAGCCACTATGCCTTTGCTTACACGAAGGTAAGACTGAGGGGAGCTGACAGTATTGTTGTGGCATCTTCATAAAGAGAAATTATATTCAAAATGCTGAGCCAACTTCTCTGTCCCACCCACTAGGAATTTTTAGGCTGTACTGACAATGATAGTGTGTGAATTACATTCAAAGTAACTCACTGTGTACAAAAAACCCAAAACAAAACCAAACTAAAAACCAAACAAAAAACCAAACAAAAACTAACTAACAAACAAACAAAACCCAACCAAAAAGGCCCAGAGTAGTATGAGTTACAACAGATAACAACATACTGCATAGAAATCTATTTCAGCTTTGTGGGCTTCTGGTAATAGTCAAAAAGGCTGCTCATCGCTATAATTTCCACTAGCTATTTAATATTAATAGGGTCATGCTCTAAAACCAAGTCAGAATCTGTAGAAGCAGAGAGAAGAAAATACTTTCAAGTCCATATGTCAAAGCCAATTTGCTGATGTATCATGTACAGCACTTCATAAAGTACTCGCTTATCTTTTGCTAAATTTTCAGATACTCAGCCAAGGGAGTGATTATTTTCCTATGAGATGGAGGAACTTTACCAGTTTCCTCTCCCTTCTGGCACTCCAAGTAATTACTCTTGCTCTGTTCCATAAGCTGAATGTCCCTGTGCTATGAGGCAAATCACCATTATTGGGTTTTGTTTTGGCAGCTGTTTTGATTACAGAAACACAAGGATTTAATAAATCACTATTACGTTTCTCAGTGTAACCTCTGAGGAAGAAAACATTTGATACTTTACTGCAACAGGAGTCTTGTTCATTGAATATTTAAGCCAGCAGAAAAAAGCACCTTACCTTACAGGACAGTTCTCCGGTGTTCCTGGGAAGACAATCTTCCTTAGCAACTCCATGAGACACAAGCAGCTTGAAGAGAAACAGGCAAATGATAGAGTTTTTTTTTTTACTTCTAAGCACCTCCAATTCTCACTGCAAGTGATAACAGTCAGATGTTGGAATTATTCAAACCACCTACTACAGGTAATTAGGAGTCCAGTGGAAGAGGACAGGCTCCTTTGGAAGGCATTCAGAACAGACTGCTGGTGATACCAACTGCCACTCTGAAAAAATCAGGTGGTGTCACCCCCTTTAAAAGTGTCTTAGACACTAACTGGTATCACACCATACAGTACATGATGTTCAGAAAGACACTTTGATGCAGAAACATACTCATTTGTCATGGTGGCCACAAGGAAAACATCCTGGGAGGCAATTTTCATTGACAGTAAGACTTTGGAGCAGGGAATTACTATTGATCTTCTACAGAAAAAAATCTCATACACAAAACTCTAAATGCAAAAGTGAAAGATCAAAAAGGGGGCAACACAAAGTTTCCCCTTCATGCTGATGGAACGTTGTTCATGCTATGGCTGCATGGCTGCTTTTTTTGACAACACTGGTTCAAGTAGCCATCAGCTCTATCACTGACCAATTTCAAATTTCTGGCTAAAGACCTTGTTTTTATTTGCAGTGTTGATCCATTTGTATGTAAAATTCTCTAATAACACATACAATACTAAAACCATTTTTATAATGAAAAGGGATGGCATCAATAGGATGAAAATGTAAGATTAACAATGTTCCATTCCTCACTCTTTGCAAGCTTGATTAAGTAAGGTTAATTACTTTATAAGTTCCAATGCTTTCCCAATTTCCCTAAGCATTTTGATACGTATGGGTAAATCAATATACAAATCCAATTATTCAGCACCATTTCTAAAAAAGAATTCAGAAGCAGTGACTAGAAAAAGAACCCCCAAACCCAAAGAGCTATGTATTAAAGATATATATAATATAATTACATATATACACAAAAATACATCACATAGATCTATACTTTACATGTATTTATTGCTTTCTCCAGTATTGCCTTACAGGACTTAATACTATTTATCTAGTACCATTTTCTAGGGAAGATTATGCTGACAGATACACTGTGAAAGCCACATAACACTAACCAAATTTAGTAGCTTTAACTACCTTTTTCTCTACAATATGAACCAGCACTGTTTTATAAAAACAATGTACTCAGGTAGCATATCTCAACTCTCACCATGTATTTATTGTAGAGAGGATGACCCGGTTTAGGTCTAGGAGGTAATGCTGGATCTGGACTTTTAAAGACTGCACTTTTTGCTCTCTTAGGTCCCAACCTGAACTTGTTGATTTTTTTATCAGAAGCGATGTCAGAACTAGATCGCGAAAGAACATCCTTCTGGGAGGCAGTCTTGGCTGCAGAGAATTTTGGTGGAGGTGGCCTTCCAGGAACACTTTTAGGTGGGGGAGGTCGAGCAGGTATAATTTTTCCATCCACAGGCCTAAAAATTGTGCAAACCATCAGAGAAATATGCATATTAATAAGCCGGCCACCTCATCCTAGAAACAGAGTGTGCAGTAAGGAAACAAGATTCGTTATGACCTGGGCTGTGTATAGTATCTGAACCTTTCCAGGAATACATGAACTCTTCAGATACTCACTGGAACCAGACGATCAAGCCCTTTGACAGATCCTTTGACTACATATTTTCAAGTCTGCTCACCAAGCCTGCCAGCTTTCCGGGGAGCCCGCGAAATAAGCAGGATTTGTTTCAGCAATCCACCTCTAGAAAGAGCTTTCTTTGTAGCTGCTGCAGGATGAAGTTCTGCTATTGGAGAGCTTTTGTGAAAGCTGGTCTTCAGGAATCAACCTAGCTCATTCCTTGGGATGTCACTTACCTCAACTGACTCTGATGAAACTCGTAACATATCACACCACTTTGCACACTGCCATCAACAGCAGAATTTACCATTTTTATGCAACAGATGTCGACCATGGAAAGAAAACACTGGTGAAAATACTCAAGTTCTCTGGCAAGGCTGGGGGTCCCACACTCCTATTAGAGGACCAGCAGTTTAGAAACCAAAATCAGAGACTAGCAAGTCATAGTAGTAATATTTACTAGCAATTAATATTGCTAGTAATATTTAAAAAACACATTATCATTTGATTGTTATTGGGATATCTTCAACCAGTTACTGCAAGTTTCTGCTACAACTGTTTCTCTTTTTTTCATATAATATAATTCAGCACAATTATTTGTTCATGTGCAATCCTCATGGGTCTCCAAAAATTATCAACTCCAACAAATGTGCATTGGTGGATCTTTGAAGTATCATTCTAACACATTCTGTGTCACCCATCGCTTGAGAAGATACTAGTCCTCTACTAATGCTCCTGATAAGAGTTCTCTATTACTATTTTTAAATTTAAAAAAAATCTTCCACTTCTCTTCATCATCCATCTCTCCCTTTCCTTGGCCTCATCTTAAACTAAGCATTTTTAATATTGACAGAAGGGGATATTCCAAGTTAAACTGCTTTAAATCTGTAAACAGACCAACCCAAACACTTTTTAAAGCAACTCAACTAAACAAGAAGACCCAAACAAGCAATTCAGTGAATCATTACTGCTTACTTAAAAAAAACCAAACCAAACTCAAAAACTAAAAATCCATTTCAGCAGCAGAGTGAAAGGACAAAATATTTACTGCAGTCCCAGAGACCCTCATAAGAATCAGGAATGTTATGCTAAACTGAATGTGGGGAAGGAGCAAGTCAATGAGGAGCAATAATGAGGTGTTTCCTTGTGGCACATCCACGTTCTTTCCTGTTAATTAACACTTATTATTACTGATAGACTAATTTCAGTAACAGAAAGAGTCTCTTGTCCTCACAACAGAGCAAACTCTTGTGATTAAACTTGCAGATTTAGAATGCAAACACTGAGATACCCACAGTGGGCTGGCTAGTCAATGCCAGCTCTCCATCCACTGTCTCTGGCATTGACGGACATGAGTTAAAGCAAGGTCCAGCAACTTTTGCCGTTGCAGACATTCTTTCCTTTTGGTTCACAATAAGAAGAAACCCCAAGGTTATCAGTGATCCTGCACCTGCATTTTAGGTCTGAAGTGTTTAAACTAGCCAGTGCTTCTGAGAAGCTGCTGGCCCAGCATCTGCCCTTTTCAGGGTGGCAGCATCTGCCACCTCCATTCCTTCACCACCCAAACCCCACCACAAGTGCAAGTGCTGTGGGTGAAAAGGTTAAAGATTAAGAAAGGAATGACTGTCAGCAGCCACTGTACATTAGCTGAAAAGTCAAACAGCTGCTCTCCTATAATCTCCTTGCTCATACCATAATGTACAAACAAGTATTAAACAGCTACCAACTTGGTCCTGCCTGTTTATTAAGTGAGCATAGAGCCCAGCCAAGACTATTGAGCTATGGCTGGAGTCTGTAGTGTCTGCACTACTTACTATGAGACTGACTATGCAAATTAACTCAGAAACACCATTTCTGAGGGTTTTTGAAGAAACCACTCACCTTGGGGGTAGTAGAGGTTCTAGCTGAGGCACTCCACCCTGTTCTGAGTGATCCAACTCCTACAACCATTCAAAAGAAAAAAGATATTTCTTTAAGCCTAAGGAAAATAAAAGATCTTGTTTAAATTATATGATTCTTATATTAAATTATATCCTAAGGATATGAAAATAAGAGTTTATGAAGGTCTGGGAGTAAAGTAGTAAGTATTATGGTGTGATTCTGCACTTTAGAAGTGTTGAACATGGAGGGAAATATGGAGGGTAAATAACCTGATTTACTACCTGAAACACAGCTTAAATTGTGCATTAAGTATGACCCAACCTCTCCTTTCCTACTACATGGCAGCAAGGACTTAAGAGCCAATTTCAGGAGAGTCCTACAAATGTACATTTACACTGCCCACAGGAATTCACACTATCAACTTTGATCTAACTTCTACACATGGAACACTTTGAACAGGCTTAAAACAGAAAACATTACATTAATGCAACTTGCACAGGACAGCATCCCTTGCAAATAACATTAACTCCCACTAAAGAAGGCATCTAGATATGTTTTCTAGAGATCTAACAGACAAATCCCAGTGAATCTTGCTTTGGCAGATGAAGGCATCACTCCTCCCAGGTGCCCATGCTGGCCCTGCCAGAGATTACCAAAGTACAGCAGTCAGAGAGGAGGACATGTGCCATGTCTGAAGGGCTTGGACCACAGTGATGGATTAACAAGTGACCATCCTTACTGCCTCCTGCTGTTCGTTTTCATCCCAGTGCCAGAAAGTTCTGCCAGCTCTGCAGAACAAGCACAGCTGCTTCTGGAACAGCATTGTAAATCAGAGTGCTGAATCTGAGTTCAAAAGAACCCTTTCTGAACCAGTACTTGTAAATAGGTCTGAACAGCCTTGTTTACTTAATTAGGTGCTTGAATGTGCTTGAAACTCAAACAATTTCTGTGACTTTTCCCACCTAGAAAACAACAGATATATTTTGTGACAAAACCTGACCCTTGATTGAGTCCCCAAATTAATGTTCTGATTAGATGACCCTACTAGAAAGAAAACAACCTGCCACTTTCAGATGAAGATGTTATCCTCATATCAGAAATTTTCCTCTTCTGTGTAAAAAGGAAGACATCTGTGCCAACTACTGCTTATGGTCAACAATTTTTGCTGTTGCTGTTTAAACACTTCCACTGGCAAGCAATACTAGTTTTAGAAGCACAGTTCTTACCCTTCCAAAGATTGTATTGAATCCACTGGAACACTGAAATCCTATCTTTTCTAAAAAAATATCTCCTGAAGCTTATACATGTCTGTCACAATAACCTGGACGACACTGTAAAAGTTTTGGAGTTCCACTGCATAAAATGTCATCTAATGTCTTGTTTCATAAATTTTCTTTCTCAGTAAATTTTCTTTTTCGTTATCGAGAAAAGGTGGGACCTCTCTGAAGCCTTTTTAATCACAACATTTTAATACCCTTTATCTTAATGGCAGAGGTAGCTATTGTTGCATTTGTTGGCAGTGTCCATCTAGTAAGGGCTTTTAATTTGATTTGACCTTTTAACTGCCTGTGGCTTTTACAAGATTGTCTACCATTCTTGCCATCAGAAAACTCAGTATTTGGAAAATTTACTGTCATTTTCCAGTTTATATTAATTCCCTTTGAAAATCTGTGTCAAATGTCATTTAGCTACGACACCTACCATTACTATGTATGTGCTCTGGAGCAAGGAGCAGAGCCTTACTTCCCTAAATAGATGGTTCTACTCAGCAGAAACAACAAGAAAGAGATGAAAAAAAGCAAGCTTCATTATTCTACAGAAAAGTTTTCTCTGCCTGCAAATTAACACAGACACCAAGAGGAATTGTGTGGATGAAGGTAAGAAATACATTTCTAAAGCACTCTGACAACATTTCACCATGTAAATCCCACTGGACTTCGAGCCACTTTTCAATGCTTTTAACACTAAGTTGTAGAATATTCTGATTCCAGGTGGTAAATACAGAAAATTGAAGATAGATGTGATCAAAGTCTAGTAAAATCACCAGAGTGCTTTTCAAAACTGACAGCAGTCTAAATTACCTAATTAATTAGAGAACAGAATTAAAGGAAAAAAGCCTTATATTTTTGAGTAGTTGTTTTCATCCTCTGGTCCTTCAAACAACTTACTTTACAAATAACTTGAGGATCACAAGAGATTTTTTAACCAAAGCATAGAAAGCTGTAATACAGGAAAACAGTTCTAACTTACCCTTTTTTTCACTAGGTCACCACTGTTTGGTTTCCCCACTGTGATATTGGATGTATTTCCAATAGGCTTTTCAGCAGGAAGTGGTGGAGGGCTATGTGGGATGTCATTTAAAGCTGTAAAAAACCCAAAAAATCCCAAATTGAAGTCTAATTAATACCTTCCTTAAGTGGATCAACAATAGGTAAAGGAATACACGTTGGTTTGGGGCATTTTTGGTGTGAATGCAACTTCCTTCCTCAAATCCAGAGCAGCCAATGGGAAGACCCAATTAAAAAATAGCAAAGAGAAAAAGGACATGAGGGGAATTCAGGAGTACTTCCCATCCTACATAATGGATCTTCACTTTACTCTCAGGACACCATCAAATCATTTCAGAGTTTCAGGGTTTCAGCTGCAATATTTGGTGATACAGTATTAGATGAGTAGAAAGAGTTTCTACCCCTTGGAATGTCAGATTCATTACTGGATACCCTGAAACACCATCACCACATTTCTAAACTGGCTCACTTTTTTTTTCAGCTGTCAGCTCCTGGAATATCCTTTAGGCTGGAAAACAGCTGAGGGTTATTTCAAGTAACCCTGAAAGATCAGGAGACTTGGAAGGAAGAATCTCCAGAAAGGTAAAGACAAGAAAATAAATTACTGCCCACTACGAAATTCAGGATGACAGAAAACAGAGATGGAATTTCCCAGGTAGTCTTTAAGGAGCAAAGCAACTTTAGGACATGGAAGAGGAAGCACTACAGATCATACTAGGGAAGAGTGATGATGTCTTCATGCTCAATAAAGAATAGAAGACCCTTCTAAATAGATGACATTTGCTTTCAATGTCTCTGCCACTGAAACCTGGGAAGTACTTGTAAAAGTTTTGCCAGCATATTTACCAAACATTTTGTCTTTATATATTGGAACCATGTCATCTATTTTACAATCTGTTTGTATATCAAGAAAATTAATTTCATAGAAAGAACTACAGACACTTAAGCTCTTCTGCCAGCTGGACTTGGAGTTACATAAAAATAGGTGAAGACAGCCTGGACATTTATAGACTGATGAAAAAAAAAAAAAAGAGCAGAGATGCTATCCAAAACAAAACTTTCAGTTGCTCATTTCATGAAAATTACTCTCAACAAAGAACATAAATAAGTGTTATATATTTTCAACACCTTTGTTGCATTACTATTATGTAAACCACTGCTGTAATGTTTAAAAATGGATCAGTTAAATTCTTAGAAGCAGCTCATAGTTACTGTGCTGGCAGTAACCAGGTATGGGGAAAAAGTTGGGTAGTTCATCACTTTTCTAAGGTACTGTGACAAATGAAAAGTGAAAAACAATACCTGGCAGTAATTCCAAAAGAAATCTTCCTTTATTGTGTCTTACTGATATAAAAAGCAATGAGACATTTATTTACCACTTGAAATCTTGCTATAGACAGCCTAATTTTTGATCCCTTATTCTTTTTAAGGTCAGAATTAAAGGAACTAGAGGAACAACAAAAAAAAAAAATCCCAAAAAACAAGAAGGCAGGTGTTATTTCCAGTAATTTCTAAGTATAATAACTGAAGTGGAATTTTAATGCTTCTTTTCTAACCCCATCTTGACAAAAATGATAATCCTAATTGAAAACTTCACTGGAGTTCAAATTCTTAAGCAGTTCTGCCCCCTTTTTGGTAGTGCTGGGTGGGCTGTTCTTGGAGGGTTTTAAAAATTTGTGTTATTTTGGTTTGTTTGTTTACAGGGGTTTTTCTTTTCATTTTTGCTGGTTCCTGACAGAATTCATCTCCTCCATAAACAAGATGGCAAAAGACTCCCCTGTACTGAGATTATGTGGCCCCTTTACAATGTAAATCCTACTATATCCATTTATACCTTGGCCCAGTTGTACTGTTCTCTTTCAACTTTTAACAGGTTACATTTCTGCAGCAGCTCCTGATTGACAAAAGGCTACTCTGCTGTCTTGGAATCTGCTTCTGTTCCTCCCTGTTCCATTAATCTTCCAGCCACTGATTCCCATAAGGCAGGCAGCCCTTCACAACCTCCTGCTGCTTGTAGCTAAATACAGGACTGGCAGTCCTTTGTGGAAATTTCAATTACCACTAGAGAGCAGCAAGGGACCAATTATCTACAAGTTCAAAAGGGAATCCATCTCAGAAAAAAAAAAAGGATAAGAGAAAAATGTCAGGTAGTTGGTTGGCTTTCTGCTTCATTTTACTTTTAATTGTAATTAAAATTTCCTTTATAGAGAAGAAATACGTCATAGTTTCATTACAGTAGTTCATAAACATATTCTTCCAATTGAAAAAACCTTTTCTTTTTAAACGGGTATTAACAGAAAAACTTTTAATCACAGCTTTATCTTCAGTCTTCACTACATTTTTAATAATTTCCACTGCATTTCTCATATGCAGGGGAAAAGAAAATTTAGTGTTTTAACACTGGGTCGGTGACAGGGGGAGATTGAAAATAATGAGTGAAACTCCTAGGAGAAAAACCACCTGGACATATAGTTACTATAAGTTGACTACACACCTACTAAATGTGGCTAAACATGATTTTGAAACGTAAGTTTTAAGAGATATCTTTTGACATTTTCCCCTAAGCTCTGAGGATCAAAGATAAGGCCAAACAGAATTCTGCAAGTACGCACTCCAGCATACAAAGACCAACACAAAGACCTTGTGGCTCTCTGATAAATTTCCACTCAGACACTATCAGTGTAATTTGTAAAGCTGTAAAGGATTAGAGGTGGCAGGCTTTAGCAATATAGTAACTCTCAGAAAACTGTAAGACCCTGACATAAAATTGAACACATAAGGTTTTTGCATCCCAGCTCTCACATGCCTTTTTTTATTCCCTCAAACTGCTACCTGAACATTTTTGCTTGAATGGCCGCAGATTTCAAAACTAGCAAGGATCAAGGGAAATTTTTGATTTGAACTATGAAAACTATACTAAACATCCCAACCAAGCTGTATTTGAAGGAAAGTTTAATGCACCAATGTTTTTCTTTTAACAAGAAAGCTTGGAAGCAGCACTAAACCTCAGCTAAGGTGAGCACCAAAGTCAATTTGGCCAAAGATTCAGCTTCAGAATATGGTTTAGCGGACAAAACAAGCTTGCTTCCTTTTCAGCCTTTAGATCTGCCCCTTACATACAGTTTCACCTCTGAGATGCATCAGCTCCATCAGGTTTGAGAGACATCAAACTCAAGGGAGGGAGCCCAATGAAGCAGCTGGGCAGCAGGGAGAGTGAAACATGACGCTCATCTACCTCTCCCTCCCACCACAGCCCTTAGGTTGGCTCCTCTGTCTTGTCAAACCGTACCATGGGACTCCTTTGGCAGCTGATACTAGCTACTAAACAGCAAATCAATTACTAAATGTTATGTCCCAATTGAAACAGTTTTCTAACACACTCCTCAGACATTTGGGAGAAGAACTTACATTTCCCGGGTTTAGCTGGGATTCGGATCACAGTGGGTTTCCGAGCTAAAGCTGGTTGAGCCATCTGTTCCTTGGCAGGTTCATTTTTGGTAAGGAACTGAAATGGATCTAGAAGGAGGAAAAAACCCAACATCTTTAATACTTGTTGAACACAAATCTTACCAAATGTTGCTTTCATTATTAAGGATATTTATATTTCACACCCAATACAGTAATAAAAAAAGATAGATCAAGCTGATGCAACTAGCATATCCAGCTCTTTGTAAGTAACAGGTCTTCTTTGTACATCTGCTTTCATAGATGACTTAACATAAACATGCTCCAGTACCTTCTGGGATTATATGAGCCATTGAACAAGAGGAACTGCATTGCCTGGTAATAGGAAGCTGAAATCAGAATGGCTTTAGGGAAATGTTTACAAAGCACTTGATCTAATGCACTGACATAGCTGTGAACACATTCATTGAAAAGTTTTAATCAATACAATCTTGCCAAAGCTAAACAATCAGCACTACAGCAGATAACATACCTACTGAAACATACAAACCATTTAAATACTACTGATTACAAAATGTCCTTGCTGTAGAACAACTAATTCTTTTGAAGATTCTGCATCATTTTATTGGTTATAAACCCAGTGACATGGAGGAAATTGGTTCAGACCAAGGTCTGGCAGTTGTGCCTGAGCTCTGCCCCTGCCTATATCACTCATTCCTCTACAAGCCTGCCCAAGCATTCCACTGGTCAGACAGAAGCAATGTTTCCCATGCTTCATTACCCTAAACACTGATCTCTTATTAACAGGCATGGCAACAGAGGCCTGTACCTCTACCTGTAGAAGGCAGCTACAAAAATACTAGTACATAAATAAAGACCAAATGAATGTGTTCTTTCTCAAATACACCTTCATGTCAAAGAGCAATACTTCTCTCTTCTTAACAACTGCTACTTTTTTCACTGACATTATCAAATTCTGCAGTAAAATGGCAATGCTTAACAGTATCATAAAAGTGTACAGTAGAAACTGGAGAAGGACTCCGGATGATAAATCTGACACATATTCACAGCCACAACAACCGAGTCTGATCTCTTCTGCTGGCCTTTTCAGATGTGTAGCTTAATGAGATGTTATTTATGGAGTGTCATAGTCTAAGAGAGAAAGTATGCAGGGCATCTCTTTGAATTCCTCATGACTTTAATATAAGCATGCCCTTTCCCAAAACTACTACCAGACTTCCTGACAAAGTTGGAAAAATCTGTATTTGATGAAATTTTATCTTTGACACTTAGAAAAAGCAGTTATGTCACAATACAATCCAATCTGAGCAAGACTGTATATCTGTGCCTGGCAATTCATGTAAAATTTAAGAAAGTCCAGAAATGCAGTATTTATTTATGAACCTCCCACATGCACATGACTCCATGGCCACAGCTCCCCCTTGCTGGTGTATCTGCCATCAGCCCGCTCTGGCAGTGCCCCCAGCTCCTGCTGCCAGTGTGCAGCTGTCACAACAGCAGGGACAACATTCCACAGGGCCCGTGCATGTTCACCCTGCTCAGATGTCCACCTCCCACTAGCCCCTTGCTTAAGGCTTTCTTCACAGGCAGATACATCCCGTACGGGTGTGCTGTGTGGATTTGTGCCATGGCCTCTCTTAAAGCCAACCTGCCTACAGGTTCCCCAGAAACCCACCCAGGTACCTTCAGATCACATTTTAATCAGGAATCAAGCAAATCAATTCCTTCTGTCAGGTTGCTTGTACAACAGCTGTCAATGTACACTTCAGGTACAAAGGATCATGGCAGGTCAACAAGTTGTCTACAGATAAAGGTATACAGGCTACAGTTAAAAATAAACTCTGTTACCATCTAGACAAAAGATAGCTCCATCATATCGTGCCCAAAGATGTACAGGCAATCCACAATGCTTTAGAATGTAAGGGTGAAACAACATTTTGTTCAAGTTAGCATGGATTAGCACATGAGGTTGGACCACTGGAGCATGCCTGCAATATTATTCTACTCTTTTTATACCTCCATCTGCTAGCTACAATGCTGACACTTGAACTGCATTAAAAAAGACCTGATGATTTATCAAACCTTAAGTTTTGTCCTGGTGTTCAGAGCGACTTCAAGTACAGCTGAAAAAAACCCAAACCCTGAAACTGGGCTTTGTTCTCTTTTATCTGGCAAATCTACATCAGATTTGAGGAGTGACCCTGGTGAGGCAGCATGGGCTCAAAGCTGCATTTGCCTATTGGGAAGCTGGAGATGCAGGATGAGCAGAGGAAAGGTGAGCTGGGCTAAGTCACAGGCTCCTTGACACAGTATGGCCATAAGGAGCACTCTGGCACACAGAGCACCTCTCAGGGTAAGGTTCTGCAAGTTCTGCATGAAAAACGAGGAAACAGTTTTCCAAAGCCTCCATCTTATGAAAGTATAGAGACAAAGTGGAAATGTTCTAAATATCCCAAACAATCACAGTTCTGTAGTCTCATAAATTTAATGGAGATTTAAAAACTGTAAAAAAATTGCTGTTTGTCAGCTGTTAATCACTGCTATGTATAGAAACAGTTTTCTTGACCATTCAGCAGTTGACAGAGGTCTCTACATCAATACATCTGACAATTTTTAAGTCTGAGAAAAGCAATTTCTAAGGCTGAGAAAACCATTTGATGAACGTTAGTTTTCCACTCATTATCTTATGTTCAATTATACTGTTGTCACCTCATAATTAGTTTAAAACTCATTACCTTGTTTGTGTTATTCCATTCCCCAGTGCTTGCAGCAGAAATTGGCTGAGAAAATGACTGTGCTGCTTTGTGCAATGAGACTGACAACATATCAAATTTTTATGTTGTTTAACAACAACTGGGCATAGTTTGAGCATAATTCATGGAGGTGTGAAAACAGAATTGTTAATGTAGTCATTTAAAGCTTCTCAGCTCAAGGAAATTAATCTGCAAGTAATTTTTCATAAGACATATCAACAGACTTCTATTGATTTTTTTTTTATTAAAGTTTTATAATAATACTTAAAGTCTGTGGCTTCCTTAGTCTCATTTTTAAGAGCTTCTGTTTGAAAGGGTTATGTGATAACATATATTACTGTGCTTGTTTGCAGGAAAGACAAACGCAAGCTATGTATTCAAATAAACCATACATAATCTCCTTTCTTTCAACAGTTTTGGAGAAACAACCTTTTATCCCTCCATTGACATAGACCACCCTTGTTTAAAATTAAAAATGAGGTTACAGAAGAAGCAGTAGGTTTCCCCATGCAAGAAGGACAGATGGGTATCTTCCTGATATATTTATTGTTAGTCTTTAAGTGAGAGGTAGAAAGATGGTAACAGCAATAAGGGGAATCTTGAAACAAACAGCAAGTGGAAAGCTAAAAGCCCAGACAGGACTATCTGTTGTGAAGATACTCAGTCCTGCAAGAAGTACTCAGCACACATGAGAACAATGGAGTACAAAGGTGTGCATGCTGATATTACAACACTTGTCACTACAGAAGCATGCAACTGTGTCTACTTTTGGGGTTTAAATTAAAAACTTAAACCAGCTGTTAAAGGCAAAACTCCCACATTCCCTTCACACAGAACAGTATTGTTACCAGAGACTTCCAGGAACAGACCTCATCAAATTTTATTAGGTTTAATAGTTTTATTAAAACCTAGCCCCATGGAAGCACCCTGGTGTTTATGGAAGCATAATCAACCCATACTTGGGGGAAGATTATCAACAACAGGTCCCTCCTAATAATATAGCCAGAGATTCAATGGAAACCTGACAGGTAACACCTCAAAGAATGGGGTTCATTCTCAAGAAACACTGTGAAATGTCACTATCAGAAGTCTGATGTTCACTCAGACATTTTAAATCTCAACCTATTTACAACAATAAAGAGATATATTAGACAGGTATGCTATCTAAATTTCAGCATCAGTGTTTTTACCAATCTGCTTTCCACAGAACTTTTCATCAATAAAATTAACAGTTCACTGTTTTCAGAAATGGATTTCTGACACAGAGAAAATTGTATGGACTACACCACCTTTCACAAATTATGAAATTTTCAGCTCCCTCTGCATGGAACATTGTCATGTTCTATTCATGACTGTAACTTTTAAGAGACCAGAAAATTAAAAAAAAAAAAAAAGAAAAAAAAGAGAGACAATGGGATGCAGGCTCTTTCAGCATCTCATCTGTGCATAACCTGAAAGTAAGTTCAGGTGACACTCAGGCTTCTTGGTATTCTCCTAATGCTAGGAGATTAGACCAGCTCATTCAAATAAAAGGAATGCAGCATCATTTCGGAGGAGACTCAGTACTGCTTCAGACTTAAAACTGGAGGAGAGGCAAGCAAATCTGCTCTGCCGAAAGAGCCTAGCCATCAGTGTGGCAGAAACGCACAAAGACAAAGAATTGCACAGTTTTGTAGTCTCTGTAAATTATAGGAAAAAAATGTCAAGACATGCCACAGAAGATTTGACTTAAATGCACTTGTTGAAAATGCAAGCTGTCCTTAACTGAGCAATGAATGAAATCTCATCCATGTAGTCAGAAAGCTGGAGAGCAGATAAAATAAAATTTACTACTAGAATAGCAAAACTTCTCAGACTTCTGTAACACTTAATGGCAATAAAAGCATACATGGGGTAGAAAACAACACCCAATCTACTTGTACATATAGAGAGATACAGATGGACCTTTTCCAAGCTTTCAGCGCTTCTCTCTAAGTGTGGGAATGCCCACACTTCGCACCTGTGTGCATCTAAAAGTATAACCATTTGGTTCATCGTTCATCTGTACTAGTAAAGTGATGGAAATTACACTGCCTTTGGCACAAAAATACTGCACATATCAGCACGAGCTATTATGGGAGAGTTTGAAGGCTACTCCTCTATCACTGATCTAATTTTCTAGTTGAAGTAAGACTAGGATAGTTCAGATTGCAAGAGTCTTCAGGAGGTCTCTCTGATCAAACCTCCTGCACAGAACAGGTCAGCTGTGAGGGCATGTTGCTAGAAATTGGTTGCACAACCTGGTCTGACTTCAAAAATTAGATGCTGGAAGGTATTTGGACATACAGTAGGTGACCA